TTTGATAAATTCATTCAATCGTATCAAATAGTATTATTATGGAATTCAGACTGTAAATATTTTACTATAGATAGAATAATCATTACTTTGAGAATTCATCTAAAAAACTTTTGGTTTACGAAATAATTGTAACAATGAAAAACTCCTAAGTTTGACACCATTAAAATTTATTACAAAACGCAAAAGAGGTTGATAAAATAATTTTATTAGCCTATGTTTTTTTATTTGTAAAAAAGTGTGGACTTTTTGAATTTATAAACTTATATAAATATGAAATTTATGAAATACTTTATAATTTATGAAATTACTTTTGAATTATGCTAATTTATAAAAACAGATAAATAAATAATCTTTGATTAAAACATAAAACGAGACGTTATTTGCTACATACAAAATGATTGAATAAAATATCGGTAATATGTCTATACTCGTGTCTACGGTAAAGTACGAGGTCTGTCCGGAAAGTATCTGGCCTACCTTTATATTTTCGTGCTAGCGTTATTCTTTATCATCTGGTGGATGGCATCCTTCAAAGTAATCCCCACTTGATTGAATAACACGAATCCATCGATGTCTCCACTTTTGAAAACAATCCTGGAACTCACTTTTAGGGATAGCCTTAAGTACACTCGTCGCATTGTTTTCAACCGTTGTTTTGTCATCGAATCGGTGTCCTTTGAGTGGTTTTTTTAGTTTTGGAAACAGCCATAAGTCACAAGGGGCTATGTCGGAACTGTATGGTGGTTGTCTAAGCAATGCGATATTGTGTTTGCTCAAAAACTGCTGCACAAAATTGGATGAATGCGCTGGCGCATTCTCGTGATGGAGAAGCCAGTCACCACTTTCCCAAAAGTGCGACCGTTTTCTTTTTACTGCATCACGCAAACGTTTAAAAATTTGAACGTAGTATTTGTTATTAATTTACTGACCTGTTGGTGCATATTCGTGATGTACAATACCTTCACAATCGAAAAAAACAATAAACATTGACTTAACATTGCTCCGACTTTGACGTGCTTTTATTGGTCTTGGCGATTCAGAATGCTTCCACTGTGAAGATTGTTGTTTTGTTTCAGGATCATAACCATAAACCCATAATTCATCACCTGTAAAAACTTTTCTAAGCACATTATCATCATTATTGACCATTTCCAGATTGTCCTGAGCGATTTCTAAGCGAATGTTCTTCTGCTCTGCTGTGAGCAATTTTGGGATGAATTTCGCACACACGCGTTTCATTCCTAAATTTTCGGTTAAAATTTCTGAAATGATAGTTTTTGGTATCCCAAGGTCTTCTTCTAGTTCTAGCACAGTCATACGACGATCTTGTTCGATTGCAAGTTGCACCCGCTCAATATTATCTGCGGTTTTTGTCGTCGAAGGTCGGCCGGAACGGGAATCACTATCGACAGAAGTGCGACTATCCTTGAACCATTTATACCACTCTTTAATTTGTGTTTTGCTCATACACTCGCTTCCGAAGGCTTTTAGCATCATTTCAGTAGTTTCCGAACTCGTTTTTCCGAGTTGAAAGCAAAATTTGATGCAAATTCGTTGATCTTGTTTTTCAGTCATTTTTGACAATATCAAAATCCGACCAACGCGAAAAAGGCACTGTAAACAAAGACACGTTGCGCATGAACTATACGTCCGGCAGGTGTCAGTAAGTAACCAATAGATTCGTGACGCTTTACTGTTGACGTTTCTGTCCGGTAGAGATCGCTCGAACACTATGGCGCGAAGATATAAACGTAGGCCCCATACTTTCCGGACAGACCTCGTATAGGCCTTCGGCCTGTCTGGAGGTTAGGGGTTTGGTGTCGTTTGGTTAAAAAGCACTGGCATCTAGCCTATTTGTTGTTTAGGGATTTAGGGTTTAAGGCTCTTCAGTTCACATGTACAGGCTACAAAGATCACACATTTGTAAACAAGTTTTTATGAAAGTTAAAATTTTTTTTCGACATTTTCGTCCACCACATTGGTTCCGCCATTTTGAGTTTTCAAAATCTGATATCAGATTTGTAAAGTAAGATCTCGAAAACCCCTATATACAAACCTTCTACAAAATATTATGGATTGAAGTATACTTATAGTTATTTTGTGTTAGGCATGGTTTACTTCCCCCTTAGGGGTAGTATCTATGAAAAAACCGAAGAACTTAATTTGTTTATTATAGATGTTTACAAATTTTTTCCAAGTTTTTTAGTCATTTAAAACTTTTTTATTATATAAAATTTTTTTTCAACATTTCTGTCCGCCATATTGGTTCCGCCATTTTGAGTTTTCGAAATCTCATAACATATTTGTAATCAGCGATCTCGAAAACCTCTATATACAAGCTTTCTACGAAATTTTATGTATTGAATTACATATTTACAGTTATTTTGTGTTGAGGGTGGCTTACCCCCCTTTAGGGGTAATATTTATCAAAACACCGAAAGATGTCAACTAAATTTTGTTATTATGGGTGTTTAAACATTTTTTCCAATTTTTTTTAGTCGGTTTAAACTTTTCTATTATAAAATTATGCCAAAAAATGTGTTTTCAACCCCTAAAAAATAGGGGATGCTACTCTTACTCTTCAAATCATCATGAAATACTTGTTACTTTTGTAAGAAATAATGTCCAATTTATTTTACTGAAAAATATTAATTTTAAGCTGAGATATTAAAAAAAACGCTTTTTGGGGGTTAACTTTAGGGGAGGTTTTTACCCCTTAAAAGTGAAAAATAGCCAATAAAAAATACGTATCTCTTATTTTCTTATGTTCTACAATATGTATCAAAATCATCAAAATCGGTGAGTTCGGGTTGGATACCTTTCTTTGTTAGTACGATCTTTTTGATAATTTCAGAATCGGTCAAAGTCCGGATATCCGAACCGGTCAATTTACCTGGATTGAATATAAAAGAACGAATGAAAGGAAAGAAGACGCTACATCAAATCAGTACACTAACACATGTAATAAATATTAAACATGTATTACTTACTTTAAAATTCTCTCAAACTTACTCTCAATTCACTAAATTCAACTGATTTAAGCACATTCGACAACTTCTTTGTCATCATGTCATGACGCTTCATGGCCTCGCGTTTTGAGTATAGCGTTTTTGTAAATGATTGTGATTACCTCTTTTTCAACTAATTTAAACACATATTCTCCCTATACCTATATAAGTTTCAAATGCTAATGTCAATGAATATAAACACTAATAAGTACGATTGTAAAATCACAAATATATACTGTCGAGAGCCGCGGTGTTTCACATGCTACTCGTCCAGATATGCTCAGTGCATGCGCGGAGACTATTCTATTGTGTCGGGCCTGTTGGTCGCCTGTCGCTCACATTTTGTCAATGCAATACTCACAATCGATATTACCATAATCTCGATTGCAATATTACCAGTTATAATTATGTCATTTATCTCATAAAATTGATTTATTCTTGGATGTATTTTTTAGTAAACTGAATATTAAATAATTAATGGAATTGATTAAGCGTTGATTTTGTATTAACAATAATCTGTTGTTTTGATAGGATGATTATTTGTAAGAATAATACATATAGCTGAACCAATTATCTTTTATGGTTAAATAAATTATCTTTGCTTCAGTCACTTTGTTATTAACAAATCTGATGATTTAACGGAAAGGGCCTATTATTTTAATAAACATACTATGTAACAGGCTGCGGTTTAACCTATAATTCCTATTGAATGTACCTACTTGATTGGCTAAACGACGCCTTGTTATCTATGTGCTAGAAGCACATTGACTCACCTTGTCCGGGAGTGCGCCTGCGCAGAGTTCTCTTACCGATCGAAGTTGGGTTCACTAACTCTCCGCTTGGGGCGCTGGCGCGCTCGCTTAGCAGCTCTCCGTCGGCCGCTGCTGGTAACTCGGTTGGCGAGCCGCTCCTCACGTTGCCTACGCTATCCGTGCTATATTACCGGCGCGTTCGAATTGAACGTAAACAATAACACGGTTCCCGGACAAAGGAAAGACAAAACAATACGATCGTTACGTTTAAATCTTTGACTACTTTATTGACTTGAATCTTTTACACGGGAGGGATTTGCCGAGAGACTCACGCACGCGAATTCGGATGACAATACACACGGGGAGAGAGAGAGAGAAAATCGCGATCGCCGCGAACTAACCGCTCGCACGCTTCTTATGATTCGCCGCACTCGCTGTGCGGCATCGCACGCTAACAACAATTAATACGTTTTGTCACCTACCGCGGGATTGATGGGAATACGGTGGCCAACCGTGTCCGACGCAATCGTTCCGAATCTGCTGCCTCTGTGGATGCTGATCTGCTGATGCGGTTCTGCTGTTGCTGTTTCTCAGCGGCAGGAGGCAATTAGGTTGCGCTCGCTGTACTCGAGGTCACGCACGTCACTCAGTGCTCGCACTCGCGCTCCACACTCGCACTCGATGACCTCTCTGGATCTTGCTCGAAAAAGGGTAAAACACTCTGTTTGAACACTCTCTATATCGCTACGATGCAGCCGGACTGAATGTCACAGTCATACTGGCTAGCAAACCCTCCCCTCCCGGTCATTACCCCTACGCGCCCTCTCTCTCTCAAACCGATCGCGGCTGTTACGCTCAGCCGCTCAGTAACCTACGTGAGTCAAAACGATTCTCGGCGATCGTTGCAACTATTATTTCAATACAATAAACAATCGTTACAATGAATTTTCTCGTTGAATAAATGTACCGGAAATCTGTTACTCTGACATACAAAAGTATCATAAATCGATTAAACAATCTATCAAAACAATTACCACTCTGTTGTTTCAATAGATTCTGTTGTTTCAACAGAAACTCTATTATATCGACAGATTTTGTAGTCAAATCAATGGTCTTGGCTAGTTGCTAGTATTTATGAGTCCGGGTTCATTGATTTGACAATATTTTTTTCTCAGTATAGTACATAAAGCACACTGTTTTTCAATAATTTTTTTAATTAAATTCGTTAAAATATTCTTACCTGTTGTTTCGATAAAATTTGTAATTCCTTTAAGTGTGAAACACAAATTTGATGTAACGTAGCAAGATCTTTAGCAATGTCTAATGCAACCTTATTTTTCGAACTTATATCTGAATCGGATTTTTCGGAAATATTCTGAAAGAAACATATATCTTATAATTTACAATTTAAGAATCAAAAAATAACATAATCATTAACAATAGGATAATTTTTTAATATAAATTGATATGATAATCTATTATGATCTAGATTATTATTGATATGCTATTAATGCGATGTAGAAAAATAATAAGAAACTAATGACATTGCCTTCATCTGCACATAGATCACTGACGCTCGATATTTTATTTATGAATTACGAGGTCTGTACGGAAAGTATGGGGCCTACGTTTATATCTTCGCGCCATAGTGTTCGAGCGACCTCTACCGGACAGAAACGTCAACAGTAAAGCGTCACGAATCTATTGGTTACTTACTGACACCTGCCGAACGTATAGTTCATGCGCAACGTGTCTTTGTTTACAGTGCCTTTTTCGCGTTGGTGGGATTTTGATATTGTCAAAAATGACTGAAAAACCAGATCAACGAATTTGCATCAAATTTTGCTTTTAACTCGGAAAAACGAGTTCGGAAACTACTGAAATGATGCAAAAAGCCTTCGGAAGCGAGTGTTTGAGCAAAACACGAATAAAAGGGTGGTATAAATGGTTCAAGGATAGTCGCACTTCTGTCGATAGTGATTCTCGTTCCGGCTGACCTTCGACGATAAAAACCGCAGATAATATTGAGCGGGTGCAACTTGCAATCGAACAAGATCGTCGTATGACTGTGTGAGAACTAGAAGAAGACTTGGGATACCAAAAACTATCATTTCAGAAATTTCAACCGAAAATTTAGGAATGAAACGCATGTGTGCGAAATTCATCCCAAAATTGCTCACAGCAGAGCAGAAGAACATTCGCTTAGAAATCGTTCTGAACAATCTGGAAATGGTCAATAATGATGATAATGTGCTTAGAAAAGTTAATACAGGTGATGAATCATGGGTTTATGGTTATGATCCTGAAACAAAACAACAATCTTCACAGTGGAAGCATTCTGAATCGCCAAGACCAAAAAAAGCACGTCAAAGTCGGAGCAATGTTAAGTCAATGTTTATTGTTTTTTTCGATTGTGAAGGTATTGTACATCACGAATATGCACTAACAGGTCATAAAATCAATGAAGAATACTATGTTCAAATTTTGAAAAGTTTGTGTGATGCAGTAAGAAGAAAACGGTCGCACTTTTGGGAAAGTGGTGACTGGCTTCTCCATCACGATAATGCGCCAGCGCATTCATCCAATCTTGTGCAGCAGTTTTTGAGCAAACACAATATCGTATTGCTTCGACAACCTCCATAAGTCCCGACATAGCCCCTTGTGACTTATGGCTGTTTCCAAAACTAAAAAAACCACTCAAAGGACACCGATTCGATGACAAAACAACGGTTGAAAACAATGCGACGAGTATACTTAAGGCTATCCCTAAAAGTGAGTTCCAGGATTGTTTTCAAAAGTGGAGACATCGATGGATTCGTGTTATTCAATCAAGTGGGGATTACTTTGAAGGATGCCATCCACCAGATGATAAAGAATAACGCTAGCACGAAAATATAAAAGTAGGCCCGATACTTTCCGGACAGACCTCGTATATCTATATTTAGGGTAATTAAATTTAAGTAATAAAATTAAATCAATGAGAAAAAAGTATAATTGTGCAATTATTCAGGACAGTATCTACAGCAACGGTAGTCGATTCGATTAATCGATCCGTTCGCGGATCATATACTCGTGATGTTAGTTCGAACGACTAAGAGAGAGAGAGAGGGCGCGCGAGGGTTTCAATATTCAGTTAAGCCTTAGCTGTTACTGCAATAGTAACGCCGAATTTAGTTTTTGCAGGGTTTCGCCGTTTGTTTGCAAATCAAAAGTTTTCCTGAGTTTTTGAACGTGTGTGAGTGATAGTAGGAAGCATCACAACAGCAGCATCTACTGCGGCAGCAAAACAGCAGCAAATTTGGAAGCGAGCGAGACAGCGCAACTGATTCAAGGAGAACCGTTGATTTTCTGAAACAATTACGGCTGATCACCGTAATTGCACCGCAGGGTAGGTGCACCTCCTTATTATTACGTGACTCAATACTTTCGAAAGTATTTTGTCTATCGCGAGCATCATTTCTTTTTTATTCCCGCCGAGCGTTAGTTTCACGACAAAGAGCCCAGCCGGGTAAGCATGTGAAAAGTGCCCTTAGACCTTTCGAAAAAGTGACAAAGCCCAATGTTCCGGCTTATAATGAAACCCCCTCTGCCAAATTTTCAGACCCATATTGACCCATGGGGCAAAATGGGACACTATTTTGTGGTTTTAGGTTTTTTGACAATAGCTCGGTTGGTTGTGAAGATACCTAAAAACTGTAAATACAAAAGTTGTAGGGTTTTTGAAGAGCTACAAACCTATAAACACCAAATTTTTTTTAGCGCGAAATTCAAATTTTTAAAAGCATTCGAAAATTCCAATTTAACGCCAATTTTGTCCATTCATACTTGCAACTCCGAAAAAAATCTTGAATGTTTCTCATAGATAGGAGTATATGTGTGAATTTTTTCAGATTTTTATAGGTGGTAGAAGATACCTAAAAAAAATAAAAACCACTAAAAACGTATAAAAAATCCAGTTTTCGATTCTAGCTCCTTTTGGTTTCATTCCACGATAAAATCAATAGCGCCATCGTATTCTACGTTAAAAAATACGTCGAAAACATCCATAACACTTTTATCATCAGACCCATTACACCCTAAGAAATCGACGACTAAACTCCCAATCTTAGCCTGCCCACATGTAATACATGGAAAATCGAAGGTCGCACGTTTCATTGTCGATTTTTCATTACGCGGTAGAGCTAATGATGAAAGTATGATACATGTTTTCGACGTATTTTTTAACGTAAACACAATGGTGTAACTGGTTTTATGGTAGGCTTAATCCCGAAAACGATAAAAGCGAAAAACTAGTGGAAAGCAGCTGCTTTCCAGTAGTTTTTCGATATTTTTTTGACTATAGCACTTTTCAATTACATTCTACGATAAAACCAATCGCGCCATCGGGTTCGACGTTCAAAAATACATCAGAAACATACATCATATACCTTTATTATTAGTATCATTATACGACGAGAAATCGACTATTAATCTCTGAAACTCCGTTGAAAGGCTGAACCCAATATTATTATTATTCCTGGCTACATGCATGACTTATGTTTACTACTCGTACCTTGATAATGATAAAAAAATATTATTTCCCTGTTCACGATGAAGTGCTAAATATTTTAGGATGTTCTTTGTGAAAATATCTGTAGGATTTTCCATCAGATTTTTGCACTATTTGGTACTGCGGCACTGTTGAATAAACCACGTAGTTTCAAAATCCTTTTTAGTTACTTTTATTTTGCACCCGAATCTGTTGAAGCTGTAAAGACCAAAAAAGTGTATTTCCTTATTTGGGAGTAAAATCTATGTAGTGTAAAAACATATTTGCTTCAGAATTTATATTTATAAAATCTTTAATTTAAAATGAACTAATAAGCTACATACATAATATAAATAATTATTTACATATCTGAATACTTTATACATTGCGCTCTCTGCTTTATAATCATCCCTCGTGAATAATATAATATCAAAACTCATTGCACGTTACGTACTTTTGCTAAAGGGAAGTAACGTCTATTCAATGTATCTAAACAGTTAAATCTATAAACAAATAAATATCAGTGTTGAACAATCAATCTTCGTCGCTGTCGTCGTTGATGACGGGTGATACTTTTTCAACGGCAAAAATAGAGCTCAAGATTTCTGCAGGCTTTACTATTTTGGAAAGATATCTACCATGCGAAAGGTAATAAATAACAGCAGCAATGTGAACACAGTAACCAATAGTGCGGTTACCATTTGCGCATTCGCAGTAGTGTCTCCTAATGCCCTGATAGCCTATAGAATTTGGTCGGTAGTGTATGTTAGAATTATATTTTTTTCGACTGACGTGCCTTGATCTCACTTGGACTTTCAGAATTTCATTTGTTTCTTTTGAATAGTAAAGTTCAATTTTGTTATCTTCGTCCATCATTTCTGCCAGGTAAGATATGGACTGTTGCAATTGATACGTCCCAGTAAAAAATATTTTTAAATCTCTTTCTGTCAATTCTGGAAAGTCTAACAGTTGATCTGATGTTATTAACTGGAAAGGTATTTTTCTCCTACTCCAGTGACCAGTTTCAACTTCTGAAGCTAAAGTATTCTCCAAATTTCTCTGTTGAATCATACGCGAGACTATTTCATCTGTTAAAGATGGGTCAGTTATAAAACGCTTTCCAAACTTGTTCTGTAAAAAACAAGCTACTTTGCAATAGAGACCAGCTTTCGGCAACATTGTGTTGTAGAACTTATGTCGAAGCAATTTGTATTTATTTCCAATGACACCATGTACCACTTCAACTGGCCAACGTATAGCAGTAACAGAACGACTGTGGTTAGATTCTACTGCTGTTAACTGATTACGTTTACCTTTAAGTGCTGGCATTAAAACTTTGAATCCTAATGTTTCAAGTTTCTCTTTAACGTCACGAAAGCCTCTATCAATGACCCATAGATGCTTTTTTTGCATTAACTTTCGCAAACCGTTAGGATCTTGCATCAAACATTCCATTATTTGAGCATCGTTGAGATTAGCCTCAAATGGACCTGCAGAGTCAACAATATACCCATCTAAAGTACATATTATGAACGGCTTGCACAATGGTACTTTTTTTTGTCCGGAAAAAGACTTTCTTTGATAGTTATTATTCGAACTTTTTTCGTGTCGAAGGTAAGTTCCATCTGCAATTAATGCCAAGTCATTATCTTTGATGTCATGTAGTGCTTTAGCAACTGGAATATTATGGTTTATTAACTCTTCTCTACTGATCACTCCTATTCCAAAACGTGTAGGTAGTACATCTTTTTCAAAAGATGTCAATATGGAATTACAAAAATCAGATACTTGTTGATCACGCTCGAGTCCTAGAACGGCGCAAATAATTTTGTTCGAATTACCACTGA